ACCCCCAAACCTGAAGAGACAACTCCAGAGGAAGCCACAACCAAGGCTGACAGCCCCTCCACCCCTAAAACAGAGGACACAGTCTCTCCAACCACCCCTGCAGCCCCCAAGGCCGACACCACCATGGTACAGACAACACCACCCACTGCAGTGACAAGCTCTGCCCCCGAATTAGTCTCAACTGCTGACAAAGACACAGCAGCTCCCAGCAGTGCTGCAGCCACTACAGCTGGGAAGGACACTCCCACACCTGGAGCAGACACAATGCTTTCAGACACCACAATGGAGATCAAGGAGGTAACGACACCCAAGAAAGACAGAACTACTCTGCTTAAAGACATTTTAACAGCCACAATTGGGAAAGACTTGGCTACTGTAGCTGTGGTGACAACAGCTAAGCCAGGTGACTCTCCTAAAGGTATGGATGACATTCCAAATGCAGCCAAGCAACCTGTCACTGCAGCAGCTGCATCAGAAGCAACAACAGCAGCCACAGCTCCCTTGCCCAAGCCTGCAACCACCAAAGAAGAGTCAACTCCTGAACCCAGCAAGGTGGTAACACCCAGTGAAAAAGAGACAAGTACAGAGGCAGAGCAGGCTGCAGCAGCTCCAGAGAGCGCAGGTGCTACTTGTGTGGTGGTGATGGCAGCAGCTGGCAAAAAAGAGGTAACGACCACCAAAGAAGTGAGCACCACACCTGGCAGAGAACTGGAACAGGTCACTGAAAAGGCCCCTGGTACTGACAAAGCAGAGGTAACTACGGTTGCCAGAGAAACCACTACCAGGGATAAAAAAGACACGATAGAAGAAATGTATCTTGTTTCTAACGGGACATCCAAGCCAACAATACATTTCCAGGAGGTCACTGAGAGCAGAGAGGAGCCTCATCCAACTGACCCTGAAACTCTGCCTGTGAAAGAACCTGAGATAAACAAGCCTTTAATACCAATTGGGGACCTGCCAATGTTACCTGGAGAAACACAAGGTAATTGCATTCCAGCAGATACAAATCACCAGTAACTCACCAGGACATGGCACTGTCCCAGTGCCCAGCCACAGGCATGGTACTACAGCTGCCACTGTCCTGAACACGGGAACCTCAGTTAAATCAATTCTCTGGGTAGTTTAGGACATGATCTAAATTAACTGGTTTCAGTAATTGGCCCTGCTGAAAAATGTTTGCTGTAAGTACTACAGAAGATGCAAACAGAGAAAAAGTCAAGGAAAAATGATGATAAATTTCTTACTAGGGAGTCAGGCTGAATATCTACCACTAATGGAACCTAACCTGGCATTTTGTAGCTGCATCCAAAACATATAAGACATAAGCCAGACAAGATGTTTTGTCCTTGTATTCTCTTTCCTCTGTGCTTTTTTACCACAACATTTTTCATGACCTCACTATTTATTTTAATCAGATATAGCCTGCAGGTTCTTGGGCATTTTTTTCAGTCATATATTGAAAGATATTTTGGAGGGGGGAAAAAGTGTTTTAGATGGGAAAATACTTGGATTTCTGTCCAAAAGAGCTCATCC